CGCCTTTCAGGGAGCAGAAAGTCAGGAAAAAATGAGAACTCCCTGCAATGTCCCCAACAAGATCCAAAGAAAAGCCTTTTCAGGTACTGCAGGGCATCAGCGTCTCACACACCATTTTTACACTTGCACATCTCCCACCTTTTGCAGGGCCACACAAAGGTGGGCAGCACTGTGAGTCATGACTAGGGAACTGAGACCTGGTCCTGCAATCACTGTGCCCAATATGAAAGCAGTTTTACCCTTTTTTCTCTAAAGATCAGCCCCAAAGAACCTCTAATTTAGCAGTTTTGAACAGAATTAGGATACACAGCCTTCTAAAGCTCAGCCTTAAGACTGTTCTGAACAATACTTTTTTAGTCATGCCACTTTGTCCTGCTGCCTGCTCTCCACTGACAGCAGACTTCTTCATAATTTGTCTAATTTTTATGTGAGAATTCATGCACTGGCAAGACAAGTTACTCTTATAAACAGAACTGGAATTACAGTCAAGAAGAAGAAATATTAAAGCATCATTATTTAAACATAAAAATGCAATGAAACAGTTAACCTTTCCCTAAGGTGAAAGTGTTTATTGCTAAGTTTTTGCAGCACAATTACATTCAAACAGACAAATACTGGCTGAAAATAAAGCTTTTTTTTTTTTTTTTTTTAATCTACCTAGGAGAAATGGAAAAACATCTTGAAAGCAAGCTGCCTTATATAAAATACTTAACTAAAAGCTTTATTATTAAAAATACTAGAATTTTAAGGATAACTTTGAGAGAGCCAGTCAGCTAAAATACAGTGCCTTATCTGCTCTTCTTAAACATAAACCATAGCATTGTAGACTGGCTTGGGTTGGAAAGGATCCTAGAGATCATTTAGTTCCAAGGCCCCTGCCCTGGCCAGAGAACCTTGCACTAGACCAGGTTCCTCCAAGTCCTGTCCAACCTGGCCTTGAACACTTCCATGGATGGGGCATCCACAGCTCCTCTGGGCAACCTGTTGCAGTGTCCCACCAGCCTCACAGTAAACAATTTCCTCCTGATCCCTGATCTAAACCTATCTCCTTTCAGTTTAAAGCAATTACACCTTGTCCTATCACTACATGCCCTTGTAAAATACCTTGCACTGACTTTCTGCAGCGTGTAAGCTGTAATTTATATTCACTTCTAATACAAAATCTGATGGTTTTTTACATTATGCTGTGCAAGCCCCATTTCCATAGATTTGTTGCAGTTGTCACAACACAGACACGCCATAGCCCCAGACAAATCCACGGGGTGGTTCACGCCTCTTCCTGCTGCCACTGGGGGCACCTGCCTGACAAAGAGCTGCTCCCTTTCAGACAGGGCATTCCTGGCACTGGCCTTTGGAACACTGTCAGCAGAGGTGCTGGGTGAGGAGATGTGTCCCTGGGACACGCAGTCTGGCAGGCTGCTCACAGCCCCTCCTTTCCAGCCTGCCCTCACTGCAGGGTGTCAGCCCCTCAAGATGGGTCTCTCTCAGCTGCTCTGCCTGTTCTCCCCCGCTCTGTTTTCAGTCAGGTCCCTCAGGTGTCCCCTTCCACCCACCTGAGAAGACACACACCTCTTTGCTTCCCCAGACAAAGTGGTGCCACCCCCAGGGCCCATCTGGAGACCCATCAGAGGCCACACAGATTATAGATAGCCAGGGCCTCTGGCACAAGGGACACAGCCAGGAGCCCAGAGCATTGCAGCAGGAGGGAGGGCAGCCCATACTGGGCCCCCAGTAACAGCAACACTTCAGCACCAGTATTTATAAACACAACTGAGGGCTGCTGTCTCTCTCATATGATTGCTGGACCACAAACTATGGGCCATCTGCCTGCAGACTATTATCACAATCTGTGAACAATTAGAGACAGGATATTTCATTTCAGAAAATAGCAAAGTTAACAAAAAGGCACAGAAAAAAGCTAGAAAACAATCAAAAAGCAAGCAACAAAACAGCAGTCTGCCACTGCACAGAGCCACATTTGCCAGCCCTTGAACCCCCCAGCTCCTGGACCACAACCACATCAGTTGACTCAGAGGAGGGATGACTTCTGCTGCTGCTGAGAGGGTGCCAGCAGCAGCTCTCCTCCTGCAAATACCTGGCCCTGCTCTCTGAGACCTGAGAGCACCATAACCCTGTCTGTGAGACCAGCTCACCACATGCAGGAGGCATGAGAGCAGCCATAGTCCACATGGCATCATGTCCCTTTCCCAGCTGTCAGGTGAGCTTGTACCAGAACTGCCAGGCCTTCTGCACTCTCCTCATCCTGGTCTTGCTTCATGACCCTTGGATCTGAGCCTCTCTACCTAGAGCCCACCCTTTGACTCAGGCCAGATGGGAGTCAGACCAAGCAGGCTCTGTACCTTGGCACCCCTGGGATGTCCCCATTGCTCAGGCAATGGCTGCTTTCAGGAGAAACCTGCCTGGAAATGCCATGTGCTTCCTTCACTGTTGGTCAGGGCCCACCTGATAGGAATTCTAAGCACTTAATGGCCCGAGGAGAACAGGAAGCAACTGACTGCTGCTCAGCCTGAGTTCTGCAAGGGTGAGATGAGAGGCTGCCACCCCAGCCAAGGGATAATCACAGTTCAGCTGGTGTGTGCTCCTGGCTGGGGCTGGGGATCTGCACCTCTACAGACCTGACACCACTGGATTCCTGATTCCCCAGGGATCTGTGTCATGTTTCAGGTGGGAGTCTCCCAGGATGCCCCAAGAGACACTGCTAGATTGGAAGGGGAATCTGTGCAGGTGCTGGGGAGGCAGCATAGGATGGCACTGCCAGGCTGAGCAGGCACAATCCAGCAGAGAAGGCTTAAAGAGCAACAAAACCCACACACATGCACAGACTCTGCATCAGCCTTCAGTGTAGTCTGAGCAATTAGTGACTTCTTACAAGAGGAAAATGATAAAGAAAGTAAAAATCCAACTGCCTTAAAACAACAGATACTCCCAATTCATTTCTAATTTATGCATTCTTGTCATATGAAAGCCACTTGCTTAAGCTGCTTTTCTATCTATTTGCAGTCTATTCAGACACACAATGCTCAGTGGGGGTCTGTCTCCATGATTCATTGGCTCAGATTTCCTATAGAGTTTACATGATGTCTACTAAGCCCCATACAGTTTTGTATCCATTATAACCAGGGACAAGCAAGCAGGGCTCAGGAGGCTGAGCATCCATCTAAGAATAGCTTCCTGTCTTCCAGCTCTCTTCACAACAAATGAACAATGGTTACATTTTACGGGCTAGCATTGCGTGGTGAGGGGAAATTAGAGGAACTTGTCCGAGTTAAATAAGGGAAGAAGCATTTAGAGTGAAGCTCCTTAAATGAACAGGTCAATAACTAGTTTACTGAGACCAAAGCACATAGCTAATGAGAGAATAAAGAATTATTCTTGTCAAGAGAGAAAAAGATGCTACCCTGGTTTTGTGCTAAATAATTACATTCATTATGTTTAAGACAGCCTTGCAAGTGGTCTTCTGCAGTAGTAAATTCATTAGCAAAGCTAATAGGCAAACTACTATTGGGGCAAATCTAAACAATTGCAGTAGGATGGATGGCAAAGATGGGGAAAGGTAGTATGAGAGCTAAGAGCCAAAGTTAGCTTTAAGTATAATTGAATTTATCTTCTCATCAACTTTAAGACCTCCTTCTGGGCTTGAAACAAGGAGAGAAAAAGGCGTTGAAATGAAAGGATATTCACTTGATTCGATTTGTTGCTAGCTTTTCCAGCTTACCAAGCTGTCTAAACTGACCTCTTGACACATGACCACAATTATAAATCCAACAAAAATTAAAACGTTAACTAAATTGGCTCAATGCTTCCAAGTGACAAAATATCTCAAATGTGTCAGAAAGCTACCTCCCCAGCAGACACGCTAAAAAAATAACCAGGCTTTGAATTTCCCAAGAACTTCATGAAACTTAGCTGGGCAGCAGGAATGTTGGGTCGTCTTCTTTAATCATGCCCTGCCTAGATTGTACCACAAGAGCTTCACAGACACAAACACAGCACACTGAGGTGAGCCTGGTAAATATTAGAACTCAATGGAGCTGGTCTGTGGAGCCCAGCAGTGAGACCTGCAGGACAGAGCAGGTCACTGCCACCGGGCACCGCAGGTCTGGCACTCCCATGCCTGGGCAGGGCTCCGGGGCTGCTCTCACCCACACCCCAAGGCTCTCAGCAATGCAGGCAGCTCCTGCCACCGTGCTCAGGACAGGACAGAGCTTCAGCTGACAAGGTACAAAGGATTTTTTTTCTTTTTTAAATGTTGAAACAGCTTTTACTTCATTAAAAGTGAGATTCCGAAGTGAGATTTTTTTTCCTAAAAATAGCTTTACAACTAAGAAATGAAAATGTGTCATGATTGAAAAAAACACGTACTAAAAAACCTGGGAAAGAAATCATCAAATATTTAAGCTTTTTTTTTTTCAATGTAGAATATAAATAATATTTTTTTAATTTTGTAAAAGTCTTATTAAACTGCCTGATTAAGGTTCATCTGGGTTGGATTCAGTTTTTTCACTCAACCAAAAAGCTTTTATACATCATATCTGTCTAGCTGTTTCAAATGGACACTCAGGGTATTGGCTAAGGGCATCAAAAAAGTAGCATTTCAGTAATTGGATTTTGGAAAGACAGAAAAAAAAAAGTAATTGCAATGAAGCCCATAGCTGAAAGAAAAGAGAAGGAAAAAAATCTTCTTTGCCAAGTGGAAATGGGAATAAATGTCTTAGGTTACTGCTGCATCCTGAAAAGCCAGAATAAGCCTGAGGCTTCCCAGCAAACCTAGTTCAGAAACATCCTCAGCTGATCTCTCATTTCTTCTAGGTAGTTGCCTTATCCAGAAAAGTTAAAAATTCAGAATCTAACTCTCTGTGAGAAATTGGGAAGACCGATACTTTGTACATGTGAAGAAGGATATGCAGAGAATTCTTTGCCTACACTAAACACTGGGGAATCACCACCTTTGTCGTTTTAGGGAGAGGCTGGCCAGAGCATCCACCCCAACAGCAGGTCTGGTCTGCATGGGCTGTGACACAAAAGGCTGCTGGAGATCACAGGGCACAACACCTCTGTGCATCACCAGAGGAGAATCTATCTTCATCCTTCTCTCACCACCTTCTTTCATGCATCCACAGCCTTCAAAAGATGAAAAAAAAAAAAAAATCTGAGCTATCTAGATAGTGACAAAGCTTTCTTCTTAAAGAATTTTTAATTAATAATTTCCACAGGGAAGATGAAAACAAGAAGATAACTGTTATGAATTTGGGAAAGGTGGCAAAGGGGTGTTTTATTGAGGACAGGCTTAAGCACAGGCTGGGGAGAAGTTGGCACTTTGTTCTCTCAAAGGTAAAGACTACACCTAGTTTCCTCACTAGGTTTTTGACAGTTATTAACTAATAAAAACACATTATGCAATCTTTACATTTAGAGACTCAAAACATTCAGTTTTGGTCAGAAAAGTGACTATGAAAGTGTCATCTTGTTTCTGCACTCATCTGCCTCCTTAAGTCCTTGCTCTCTTGTCAAAATATATCCACTTTACTCACTAATGTTAATGGGAGCTCTATATGCCAAGCACAGAACATTGGCCTCTTAAGCTTTACCTATTTGCCTGCTAATAAAGCACACTTTTATCCCAATAAGCAAGGGAAAGCCAGCACGGGTGCACCACAGTAATATGCATTATACACTGCCTCATGCTGTGCTACCACTGGTGAAGCTGTATTCTCATTCCAGAACTTGTACATTTGGTGAAGGTTAGTGATGAAGTACAGCACAGGTCATAAACAACTGAGCTTCATTTTCCACAACTAGACAGAGCAGCAGGCGCTTAGGAAAAAAATTATACTAGCTTGTAAATGGAACAATTTAACATGGAAGTAACTGATGGCAAATAAACACAGAATGCCAAGGCATCTTATCTGTCACTTAGTTGTACTCTGTTCTTTATATTTCTTTAGAAATCAAATCTATAAACTAGAATTTATTCAATGTTACTGAAGAAATCACTTTCGAATGTGAAATATGCTCCTAAGAAGGAAGAACACTGTGCTTTTTCCTGACAAAAACCTTTTCTACAGGCAGTGCAACGACAAGGTCTGAATAGCACAGCCATGGCTAAGATTTTCCAGCCAGGTGCTGGAAACACTCTGCACTGTCATCATTTTACAAAGTAATCTGCATGGTGAAACCTTCTCAAAACAGCAGAGCTTAAATTATATGAATGGCAAAATATTTCCTTGTCTTGTTTCTTCAGTTACCTCCCAAGTGCAGAGGTTCTTTCTCCAAATGTGTGATGCTTTCAACATGCTCTTGACCAAGTGCCTCTTTTTTAAATGACACAAACATTCTTGTTACCTACTGCAGCTAGTGGTACTTGAACCCAGTCTCTTCTAGAAGCTAAGGCTTTATTTTCTGACTTCCTGCAGCAAAAAAATATTCACTGCTTATGGACTCCCACTGACAGGTCAATGCAATCTCAGTGTTGTATCAGCAGCAGATTTGAGTCTTTTTGAATAGATGGCCATAGAAATCTATGTGGAATTCTGGGAAGCACCGAGTCCAAACAAAATCAAGTTGAAACTGAAGGAACAATTGAAAAGACACATTTTTACATTAAGTGTGATTTCTGGGAAGGATAACAGCATCTAGGGAGGCTGCATCATCTCCACTCTGGAAGGTTCACTACAGCAGACCAGACAAACTGAGTAACTGGGTCTGGCCTCATGGCTGGCCCTGCTTTCAGAAGGAGGTCAGACCTACTCTCCCAGCCAAGGAAGGACTATGTGGAGGGGAAATGTGTTTCTGCTTGGGGTGGGGGAATGATTCCCCCCTGACTTACCTTGCCTTCCCAGGTACCCTTAACCTCATACCTCAAAATAAGTATGAGGCCTTGATATCTGAGAAGCAGCAAAATAAGGACTGGGGAAATGTGTACATGGACGAAGGCTCTTGCAAGATGGAGGTGTCACCTAGGGCTGGGCAGCCTACCTCCTGCATCAAAACTTCCTCCATGAAGAAAAAAAGAAAGGTAGTAGCCATTGGTGACTTGCCTTTTGAGGGGAATGGAGGGCCCAACCACCTACCAGACCCAACTCATAGGGAGCTGCTTTTTCTCCCTGGGGCCCACACAAGAGATGTCACCCAGGACCTTCCCAGCCTGCTAGGGCCCATCAAGTGTTACCGTGCACTGGATTTCCAGGTAGGCAGTGGCAAGGTCCCAACAAGAAGGTTGCAAACAATCAGGAGGGATCTCAGGGCCTTAGGTCAACAGGTCAAGGGATCGGGAGTGCAAGCTGGTTCATTTCTGTCCCTGTAGTTGCAGAGAGCGATGGAGCAAGAGAGACACGGAGCTTCTGGAGTATGTCTGGCAGAGGCTGACAAAGATGATGGAGGGACTGGAGCAAATTACAAGGAAAGACTGAGGGAGCTGGGGCTGTTCAGCTGAGAAGAGAAAACTGAGAGGGAATCATATCCCTCTCTCTCTGTTTCTGAAGGGAGGTGTCAGAGGATGGACCAGGTTCTGCTCAGGGGTGCTGAGCAAGAGGACAAGAGGCCATGGGCAGAAACAGACATACAGGAAGTTCCACCTAAATAGGGAGAACTTCTTTACTGTGAGGGTGACCAAGCACTGGAACAGATTGCCTTCTAGTCTCTCCCACTGGAGAAATTCCAGAACTCTCTGAATGGAATCCTGCACAGTGTGCTCTACAATGATTATGTCTGAGCAGGGAGGTTGGACCAGGCACTGCAGTCCTTTCTAACCTTACCCATTCTGTGATTCTGTGTGACATGAGGTCTCACTCAAAATCATACCACCATCTACAGCCAGCCACAAGGCAAAAGAGATTCTCACTGCCCCTTCTCTGATCGCATGGCATTTTGGTGCACCCACAGACCTCTTGCTAATCCCTCCCTAAACACTGTTCTTACCAATCAGACAAAATCCCACACACTCTTTTGTTTCTTCCTACAGGCTCTTTCCTAGGAGCCTGTAGGTACAAACCTACAAGCCTTAGAGAGCCTCACTGGTGTTTCTCAGTGGTCTGTCAGAACAGAGACTGATCTGCAGGAGCAGCAACAAACACCTCTGATATTCATTTCCAACCATTCAGATTAGCATTCTGCATTCAGTGCTATTTATATCCTCTAACTTCTTGATACCTATGGCTCAGTGAATGTGTCCTAAACCTCTCCCTGGTTTATGAGCGTGAATTTTGTTTTTATGTTTACTGACTGCTAATGAGGCATCTCCCTGCATTAAACCTGCATAAAACTAGGTACCTACTGTAAAACACTCCTTCCCTTTTTGCTTTTTGTCAATTACAAAGGGAATTACAATCTGGCAACAATTGATAATGGCCATGAAGAGATGCTCACTATTCTCTGGATGTTTCAGAGTTAATTTAGTTGCAGCAAATGGTCAAAACATGGCCCAGTACAAGAAAGAAACCCCTCTTGGTCAAATCAAACCATTAAGAACCCTTGAAATCAGGATGGAGCTGGACTTAGCAGATCTGAGCAAAGTGCCATGAAGCACCAGTGCCCAGACATGCCATGGCATTGCCACTACTCATCATCCCCTCTACACTGTTTCCAGTTTCTGAGTGCACCATGTGAAAGAAGAGCAAGCATAGAAACCCTTGCCGGTTTGCAGTGCCTCCAGTTAAAGCTTTGCCACTTAGCCAATGCAAAATAAAATGAAAAGCTCCCCAGACATACCTCAGTTGATTCAATTCTTCTTTGGAAGCTGAGGAGACAGAGTTAGATCATTCACACATTTTCCTACGTGCAGAGCCAAGCTGTGGGCTTGGAGGAGATACAAGGCCCAGGGAAGGAGCTCTCATTCCTTCTAACTCTGCCATGAGGGTGAAAAAACCAAACTACAGTTCAGATTTCCACTACTGCAGGTCTGTGGAAAGAGCAAAACAGCAAATGAGTTTTGACATAACAACCCTAAACAGGTGATGGAAAAGCTGGCTAGCACATCTGTGGCTGAATGCAGTTATTTTGTTTAATGTAAAAAATTCTACTACAATTGTATATGATCTATATTCTTGGCCTTTAAATCAAGGGTAATCCACAGCTTTTGAGGTTTCAGTTTATCCTTAAACAATATAAATGGCTGTCCACAGCAGACACAGCTGTGTAAGAGGGGAGAACATTGAAAATTTGAGGAAGAACATCTCCATCTAACTGCCTGCAACTGAGAAATCAGCTTCTTCCCAAGAGGAAAAAAAAGGTTGACATTAATTAGGTGATTGCTTAACAATGAACTCAAAGTTTTTATTGTGAAAGATTATTTTATTGTGAAATATATGCACATCTCCACCTTGGCAGAATCTGATAGAAGATGAAGGAGAATGCAGTACATACCGTCAAATGGATGACAACTTCATATAACTTCTTCTGAGAGAAAGCAGCCTGTTGTTTACTGCATTTATCGACAATCTGTGAAAGTAGACCAGGAATCAGTCTAATTACCAGAGTGCCAGTTGTGCTTGTTAACACCAGCTTTGTGACCAAATGTTATTCCACAGTTGTCACATCACAAGAAGGTTTCATTACTAACATAATAGTGAACAAGATCACATGCCTGGCTATTGATTGATCTGCCACACAAAGGAAGGACATTTGTTGTCTCTATTATAACCAGTTACATCTGTGTCTGCCTGTATAATATGCACAGGAATGTATCACAAGCAGTTGCTGCAGTGTTTCTTAATTTCTGCCTGTTACTCCCATTAACAGCCCACTAGGATTTGCAGACTTTACCAATAGAGAAGAAATGACCTTGCCATAATTTGTCTTTCACAATCTTCAAAAAATTGTTTCCATCAACCTTCCTGCAGTCCTACCAGGATTGAGACTTACTCAACATTTGCATTATAAATGTATTATTTCTGCCAAATCAAAAGCTATTTTAATTCTTTCTGCACACAATTGGGTAACACAGCGGGAACAGCAGAAATATTCATTGTTACTGCAGTTGAATGGCTCTGAAAGAACTATATCTTAGACCAGAGAAATGCTCTGCTAACAAGCACTCTAGACAAAATGAACTAAGACTGACCCTCAGAGCATCAAGATATTGCTTGACTGACCAGTCATAAATGCAAACAACATCTTTCAGGCCTGTTGCTGATATGAGAAGTGAACAGCCTTGTTTATTTTTCTATGAACTCAATAAATATTACAATACAAAAGTGGATTTGTTTATCATTGTGAGCCTACAGAAAAACAAGCATGCCTCATCATCTTATCTGATGATGAATGATTTATCAGGCAGAACATGAATCTGCTTCTGAGTCTATTTTCCTGTTTATGCTTGTTGAGCAGATACAATTTAATGAAGAATATAAAGTACTTAAAATCTGTCTACCATTAATAGTTTAATTAAACTGACATGTACTTCAAAAACAGAGAGACAGAAAACATTAATTTTGGTTATAAAGGGCATGGCATTATTAAAGTGCAATTAAAAACAACTTTCACTTACAATTAATAGCTAAAACAATTTAATTATTTAACATCTAATTGTCAGTTCTGGCTAACCTAGCCACCCCAAGATAGGTGTGTTCTTTGGGCCTCATGTGAAGTATGTTACATGGCCAGGCCCAATCACAAGATAACAAGTTGCTCCTGAGCAATATCTCACTACAAATGCCCTGACAAAGACCTCACTGTGCCAGGGGTGGCAGAGGGGCCTCCCATGTCCTTGAGGATCCAGTTCCCACAGGACCCCCCCTGAGCCCCTCCACTGGGGCAGGTAACAGCCTCAGCTGGGGCTGGAGCAAAGCCCAGGGCATGACTGGTGAGCCAGCTCCTGGTGTTGTGATCATTTTCCCTGGGAAAAGCACTCTGCCAGGACCCTTGGACATACTGAAGAACCTGTTTTCTTCCTAAACTTCATGTCTCATACCTCTCTCCTTCTGTCCCACTTGATTGAAATTGATCAACTGGCTCAGCAATTATTTGATGGAGGACACTGAAAAAGAGGAGCAAAGAAAAGCAGCTCACACACACAGGTCTCATTTTGCTTGGAAACAGGACAAAAAACCCCTCTCCTCCCAATTTCAAAGTTAAAACCCAAAGATGCAACGTGAGAGTCTGCCAAAGAATTCGTTTAAGATGACTTAAGATGACTTCTCAGGAGCATGAATCCTTCTTGAACAGAGTAGCAGTGGAAATGTCCCTGAAATTCAACCTACATTTTTTTAAGAACATAGCAACAAACAAGTTTAGAAATTCCATCTGAATTTTAGGTTTGGAAGAAAATACAGACTTAAAACACAGGACTACTCTGAAAACATGAATTCTGTTCAACAAATAATTTCAGTACTTGCAGAGATATATTGAGAAGTCAGATTTTTGGTGCTTTCCATCAAAAGTGAGACGGAGCTGTCCCTCATAGCCAGGCTCCCCACTGCAGAGACATCATCTGTGAATGGAGTGACTGTGCCTGGGTTACACCACTAGCCAGGCACAGGCCACCAGGCATCTGAGATTTCTGGTACATTTGGGAGAAAGTCTGGTCTCAAGGATTTTCTTTAGAAATACTATTTAATTAAACAATTCCCAAGAAACATAGTCCTAATCACAGTTAAAGAAAAACAGCTGCTAGTTTTTTCATGTGGGCAGCATGTCATGGCAAGATCCAGGGCTCTCAGCAGAACTTCACAGGTCTCAAAAGTCTACTCCTACAAGGAAACGTGAGAATTAATATCCTACCAAGCCCAGCTATCCTTGAACACAGCCTGAAGCAGATGTTATTTCAGGACTATTTCACTACTTCCTATAACTTTTATTTACTCATTTCCTTATAAGCTGAGGTGTGGGGAGTGGCTGCAACTGCTCCCATAAACCCAAAAGACACAGTCCTCTCTTACCTCCTCACGTGGAAAGGAGGGAAAAGCCCAACAACATAATGTAAATATTCACTAAAGGTTTTCTTTGTGCCTTTTTCCCAATCCAGAGAGTGCCATCACCTTTGTCACACCACCTGATGGTTTCTGACTCTCTTCTGAAGCCTGGGAAAAGGAGAAATCCTTCTGCCCAGGCTGCAGGTGGCTGAGCCAAACTGGAGCCTCTGTGATTGAGCAGAGACATGTGCCCAGCCCGTGTCTGCCTTGCAGGGACAGATTTCACATCTGGGCTGACACCAGGGCTCCAAACCTTTACTGTGCTGCAAAGAGGGCACCTGGGCTTCCTTAGAAGAAGCTGGTTGAGGAAAATGTGGGTTTATCCATGATTCCATAGAAGAAGCTGGTTGAGGAAAATGTGGGTTTATCCATGATTCCATAGAAGAAGCTGGTTGAGGAAAATGTGGGTTTATCCATGATTCCATAGACAGCATTTCACTGACAAAAATACTTTTTCACTGCACCTGTAAGCAATATATAAAAAATTATAATAAAATTAATGAGTACAAAAGAATATATTCCTGCACTTCAGTTTCTCCATGGAAAAAATATTTTTCTTGATTTTAATCTCTCTTAAATTTAACACTTAAATTTCTCTGCGGAGAAATTTAAAAGAAGAGTGAAATGGCAAAGAGTGGGATTTAGTAGGATCATTAAAAAATAAAGCATAAACAGTGTCACTCTTTACCTTTTCTCCTCTAAAGAGCATTATAATAATCCATTTATTTTCAATGCAGCCATTAAGGCAGGCACCTTCTCTTAAAAACACCTGCACTGACACATCTTAGGGTTTGAATTCAGTTAAGTTATTCTCAAAAGAGTAAATAGAATCATAGATGGTCAGAGTTAAGGCACTTCAACTGACCAGAAGAAATTATTATGAGAATGGGTGTTCATTTGAAGGTCTTGTGAGGAATTCAGCCAGTGAAGCACTGAGGAGTATCTGCTGGGCAGGTACCAGATACCCTCACTGCAGAGTGGTGAGCTGCCTTGCCACTGAGCAAAGCACAGGGAGCAGCTGAAGCCTTTGAAGGGGTTTGGCTCTGCCAAACCACATTAAACCTTTGTTCACACTCTTTTCAAGACCTGTAACTAAGATTTAATTGCAGTCTAATACAGACCACCAGAGCAGTCAGAGTAGAGGATAAAGTAAATGAAGAGATATGAACAGCTTATACAGCATTGCATATAAGCCAGAAGTGAAATCCCTTGTGCCTGGACCAAGTTTCTGTGCTTGCATGGGGATTTCTACCAGATTGCTACAACCACACCAGTAATCAGATGTTTGCATATAGAGAACAAAACACCAGGCAATTACTGAGCTGTGTTTTATTCACAGTTTATTCACTGTTATGTGACTGATGCAGCCTGAAAAGACAAGCATCTTATGAAATACTGCATTCAGTGACCATGAGTTTCAATGTTTTCTTTGAAGACAGATCATTGTCTATCATTTCATACTTTTCAAGTCTATATATCAAGCCTTACCCTATTAAGAAGTGTTTTTTTTAGATTTCCTGCATTTTTTTGCAATTTTTTTTGTGCAAAAAACACCTTCAAATACTATAATCTTTTCATCAAGGCTTTGTCCCACATAAAATGCAGGTAAAGTATGTCTAAAGCATTCCTGACATATAACTAGTAGGAAAAAACCTACCAAAATGTATGGCTGTCTAGGTGGCTTTACAAATGAAATCAAGGCATTAGACATAGACTTTGTTATTATTTTGTTTAAATTAAGCTTGAAATGCCATGTAACTGAAATAAAAATCAGAAGCAGAACAGGGAATAGTTTGGTTTCTGAATACTAAATGCAATCAAAAGGTAATGGTACTTAGAGATTTTTCACATACAAACAGATTTATGAAACTGATAAAAATCATTTGCTCATTGAAATTCAGGAATCTGGTGGCTTCTTCTGTGAATAGTCAAATAAGTTAACTCGGGCAGCTTCTCTGTTTCAGTACTACAGACATACAGAATTTATATTTTAAAGGGTACTTTTTAAAAAGCAAGTAACTTTACCATTAATGTAATTTAAGATAATGGCACAAACTATAGTATTAAAAAGGAATCAAGTTCAGTGTTCACAATTGAAAAAAATGGGAAGTCAGCAATTCTCATTTTGTTGCTAATAAACTCTACTTTCACATTTGCATACAGAAGAATTTATTCACGAACCCTGAAGACAGGAGCCATTTACTTTAACATTTTTTTTTTTATATATTTCTATTTCATGATTTTATGAAAATGTTTCTATTAATTTGAAGTTCCTAAAGAGCTTCTTTCAGTTCAGAAAAATCTTTCCGTTGTTTTTCAGCATCTCTCATTACTTTAAGTAATCTGCAGCCTCAGTAAGAGCAGAAAGTTTATTGACTCAGAATTTTCTTGTGATAGCTTTTCAAAACTTAGTATTTAAATGAGTTTATATATTAAGCAAAGCAGCAAAAATGTACTGAAAATTTTAGAGGCCCTAGGGCCTTCTCAAAATGCATGAGGTCTCTTCCCTGCTTTGGAGTCTCAAGAATGCTAAATAAGGAGAGAAAAAAAATCCTTATTTCAGAAGAAGAAAAAAAAAATCCAAACCAAAACTAAATACCACCCTTAAAATATGAGATCACGTCAAAACTGTTTCAACTACTCATGGCTGTGGGTTTATATTCATGTTCTGCTTGCCAATATTTTGGGTAGGATTCTGAAGCTGCACTTTGATCCTTTAAGGACCTCCTATCCCCTGGGCTCAAGTTTGATTCAGTATCGGAAGTGCCAGAACAATCTTTGAGCAATCTGGATGAAATTCCTCAAGAGCAGCTTTTCCTGCAATATTTTAAACCAATCTGAATTGAGAAAAGCAGGGACAAAATAAAAAAGATAAACACAGAAATCAGACAGAGTAAAACCTGGAAGGGGAATGTGGAAAGCAGAATGGGAGCTAGGAAATACACATTTGTGGAAGGACTAGGGAACCAAATGGAAAAACTGAGAGAAACATTTGCAAAAAAAAAAACTGAGGAGCAGAAGGCTGACAGAGGAGGCAAAATCTGTGAGGGGGAATAGTGAAGAGGGGTAACAAACAAGCACAGAAAGGAACCAAAAAATACCACTGAAAGAGGTGAATGAAGGACAAAGGGCAGAGAGACAATAACCAACTGCATGAAACAAAAACATCAGGGAAGAGAGACAGTAAGGAAGGTAAACTGGAAACAAATCCAAAAGGCAAAAATTTTACAGAGTGAAAGCTGAACCTATAAAGCTTCATTAAGTTTTCAGGAAATTAGTTTTGAGCAAAGTCCAAGCAACACAACGATGGAAGCATATTCATTTCTTTGCCTTCTCAATCTGCCTTCAGGTTAACAAAGCAAACCCAAAAAATAAACATCCAACCTAATGGAACTGGTAAGGGGGACAAGGTATAGCAGCTCCTGCCTTCTCCCTGTGAACAATGCAATCTGCTCCTTTCGTGCCCTGCTTTCAGAACAGCAGGAATAAACAGGCAAAACATAATTTACAGCCTTGGTTTATCTATATCCACAGCCTGTCTGCTGGTTCAAACCCAGCAGAATGTGTATGTGTGCATTCAGAGAGATGGCTGTCATTAGCCCAACCACGTTAACCAAGGTATAAAAGGCAGGACCAGATCAGTAATAAAGTTTACACTTCATTATGGATGTCAAAATCCTTGCTGATTTTTTTTTCACTGCAAGAATCTAGCTTATTAAATTTCACAAGCAAAACCATCTCTGAGTGAGCATTCAGGAATCAGTTACTTGGAAGCCTTCAGGATTAAAATCTAAAACCAGATATTTCCTTAATAAATTTACAGAATTAGAACAACTGGACATATTAACATACGTCTCTGTTTTCATGGCTGTAAAATTATTGGATTCTTGTCTCATCAAATTTACATTGTAGAATCTGAATATAGTATGATTAGACATTATTTTAACAACTACATTACAATACAATTTAAAATAAAATGGCCCTTTATATCACACTAATATCAGTGTTTTAAATAACAAAGGGGACTTTTTTTAAAAAATAAAGGAAAGGATTAGCATTTAGTTTCAATCAGTATAAGCAATGCTGTACCAGTTGGTGTCTCAAAGATTCAGAATTTTATTAATATTCCAGAGATGCATTTGTGTTGCCTCTGGGTACACTGAAAAGCCACTTAAACTGCACTTAAAGCAGCACTACAGGATCAAATTGATGTGCATCAACCATTTACAATAAAACTTGATTATTATAAAGGCATACATATTTGCATAATTACATGTTTGATTTTTTGATAATGCAGCATACACTACAAAATGTTGCTTCATGTAGAAAGGCATCGTCAAAAAGCACCATCTGCTGTAGTGTTTAATGCACTGCAATGTTTGAAAAATCCTGAAGGTAGATTGATGCAAATCAAAGGAGAAAAGCAAAGGAGTTTTGCTAGAACAAGGGGCTCAGGGAGGGAGGAGGGGACTCACTACAGAACAGTGTGGACCTTTTGTTAGGCTGTCATCTGTTTCTCTCTGGCTATTTTTAAATAAAATTTTCAGGGGACAAAGGTAAAAGACAACAGAGCAGCACATCCTACAGTCCACAGAACACAGGATTCCTAACTTGAGAGCATTTGGCATAAACACATTTTTAATGTTTTTACTAAAAAAAAACCAAAAAAATCAGTAGTGTTTGCAATGAAGGAATTATAATGGAAAAGAAAGCAAACTTAACAAGAATTAATCTTTTCAAAGGAATCTCTATTAAGCATCACAATAGCTCAAAAGGCATAGAACTTGGAAGTAAGAATATCTTCATATTTTCTCAATTCAAAACAAGAAGCCACCCGATCTTCAGTAATATCTGACCATGTCTGAGCAGCCCCAACAGAAGCCCAATGGGTTCAGTAAGTCGGATGCTAAGATTGCAGAAGTGAACGTGCATTTTTGATTACACAAAAAAGCAAGCATTTCTAGACTGAGCACTGTTAGCCCAGGGTTCTTGTATCCTAAAAATATGCATCATTTTGATTAGCACTACATGTCTATCATTTCAATACCTGAGGCTTTTTTTCAAAGTGGATTTTGAGACAAGACATTAATCAAATGTAGTTGTAACTGTTTGTAATAATATTCTGCCATCCTGAGGAGTTTTGTGCATGCATCCAGAATGCACACACAGAGAGAAAAGAGTCATCTGTGGCTTTTTCCAAGTCTGTTGCTACCTCTGAGCTATGCTGTAAACATTTTTGGACAATGTGCTGAGCAGTAAAGCACAGCACTGAGCCAAGACACGGCAGATCTGGCAGGGAAGTCAATAGGCATGTACTAGCCTGTTGCTTCCCAGTAGGAGCTCATTCCTTCACAAATTGGCCTTTGGTAAGCAGTGTGATTCATTGCTCAGGGACTGGATTACAAGCTGGAAACCAGCTGACAGAACTTGGGCAACTCATTTCACATCTCCGTGCTATCCATTT